TGCTTATATTACGTAGTGTTTTTTAAATCATGAAAAATAGACACAACACAATGTATCATTTTAGCCATTTTAGGTGTGCAATTCAGTGTCTTTAATTAGACTCTCGATGTTACACCCTGTCTTCCTCATTTTGCCAAAACACAATACCCACCACCCACAACTCAAAGGAGACATTTGTGTGGGCTCCTGGGCTTAGAGGATTTGGCCCATAGTCAGCTGGGTCAGCAGATAAAGCATGGGGGAAGGGCCGGGGGAGGAAGGTGCTCATGCCATGGTGGTCAGGAAGCAGCGAGGGGAGAGAGCAGAGGGGAGTGATTTCTACTCTCCAAGGTCGTGACCCAAGTGACCCAGTCCTGCCAGGCCCCCCTCCCAGCAGCGCGCAGCTGTGGATTCATGAGTGTGTGAATCTGCTGATGATTACAGAGCCCCCATGGTCAGTTCCCCTCCAAGCACGTGAGCCTCAGGGAACACCCCGGACTGAAGCCATAACATGCACCCCCGACCATTGCTATTTCATCATCCCGGAAAGGATCTCAATACCCATGAAGCAGTAACTCCCATCACCCCACTTTCAGCCTCTGGCAAACCCACTGTACTTCACATCCGTGGGAATATGCCTCCTGTAGCATGTGCTGCTTGTAAAGCACAATTCACAAAATAAGAAAAAGGAAGGAATCGTAGGAAGGGTATCATCCTTAGGGAATTGTGCTGTGGATAGAGGTCGTTCTTAAGCCGTACTATTTGCTTAATCCATTATATTGTATCCACTTCTAAAACATTTCTAGTGTTAGAATTTAGTATAATGCATTACTTTTAAAGTGATTCAAATTAACTGCAGCCTCTGAACACCACTAAACTTTGCTTTGTATTTAGTATGTTGTTTATCATACATACATACCCAGCTGTGAATGTCTGTTTTCCCCCTACAAATGATAACACAGATTTGTACTTTGGTAAATATTTTTCTGTTTAGCAGTATGTTTCAGGAGATTGGTGTGTTCATCTGAGTGTATGTTGTCTGAAATAGAAGTCACCACAAATAGCTGGTACATGCATCATTTAGAAAGTGGAGAGGTTTTGCTATTAACATATGCAAACAAATATTTCTGCTTTATTTCAGTTGTAGGTGACACGAACGAACAGATCTTTACTTCTCAAGAGGGGATGCAATGAGTCACTGTAGGATTACATTTAGTTATTTTTTTCTTTCCAATGAAAGTCAGTTGTAATAAGAGATTTATTGGAAGGAATATCTGATAATGGAATCATCTTCTTAAGATAACTTCCATTTGCACTTTCTGTGAACCTTCAGCAAGAGTTGACAAAATTCCTGCAGTGGGGATGAATAGGATGTGTCTCTTCTTGTAGCATGTATAGTAATCATGACTTACAGATACCTTCTAAATTGAGAGCTACAGACTGAATTGGTAGCAGACACAGACAGCATTAGCCTGGCCTTCACGGTAGCTGTCACCCTCTAAGTATCAATGAACTAAGCTACCAAACAGGGAAATTATTTTCATATTGTTTCAATTCCCCAAATTTTACCCTGAATCTAATTTCACTTGCTATTTAATTGCCAGCTGTGACCCCTTCCACTCCTAGAACTACAGAACTGCAATTTCATCACTAATCCATGGAGACTTTGGTGCACCCTGGCTTTTGCTGGCTCGTGTGTGAATTCTTTGCAGAGACTGTAATCTTTTTGAAGATAGAGAGTTTTAATCCATTGAATTGTGAAAAAGTACCATTCTAACAGATAAGAAAATTAGACTCAGACAAGTAAAGTAACTTTCCTAAGGTCATACAGCTGAATTTAGCCAGTAACTGAATTAGTCTTTCTTCCCTAGAACTACTTGTATGGTCTTCTTTTTCAAAAAAGACTTACAAATGCCCAAGAAGCACATGAAAATATACTCAATATCACAAATTAGAAAAATGCAAACTATAGCCAGGAGATATTACCTCATACCCATCATAACAGTTCTTGTCAAAACCAGAAAATAACAAACACTGGCAAGGATGTGGAGAAAATGGAGATTCTGTGCACAATTTGGGGGAATGTAAAAACAGTTTCTATGCAAAACAGTATAGTTGTTCCTCAAAAACTTAAAAATAGAATGATTATACAATCCATAACTTCTACTTCTAGGTGTATTTGCAAAGGAATTGAAAGCAGGGACTTGAAGAGCATCAGAAGCATTAGTCACTCTAGCCAACAGGTGGAAGCAACCTAAATATTCACTGACAGATACATGAGTGAACAAAGTAAAGTATAACCGTGAAATGGAATATTATTTAGCCTTAAAAAGGAAGGAAATCTTTTCACATACTACAGCATGGTAGAACCTTGAGGACATTATGCTAAGCCAAATAAGCCAGTCACAAAAGGACAGATATTGTATGATTCTACTTATCTGAGTTACCTGAAGTAGTCAAATTCATAGAAACAGAAAGTAAAATGGTGGTTGTTTGGGGTGGGAGAGGGTGAAAATGGGGAAATACTGTTTAGAGTACAAATTTTCAGATTTGCAAAATGAAGTTTGAGGGGATGGTTGCAAACAACGTGAATATATATAGCACAACTGAACTGTGTGTTTCAAATGATCACCCCAGTACTGCACAAATAATAAGGTGGTAATTTTCACATGTTTTGTGGTCACTCCAGTTATCATAAAAATATACTAAGTATTTTGAACTATCTAACTGAATACCTTGCCCAGACTCCTTGCTTTAGTTGAGTCCTTGACATTGGTTCATATTAAGCATTCTTCCCTTCCAGAATGTTCCAAAAGTTCCTCTCCACCTGTGTAAATCCTACCCAAAGAAACTCTGATGATACCACTGTAGGATACCCAACCATACCCTGCTTTTTTATGATACAGCTGAGAGCCAATCCAGACCTCTTGGCTTCCTCCTGCCTTAAGGAGCAGGCATTGCACACTTTGTGCATAACTTCCCTCTCATCACTCGATGACCTCATGGATTGCTTCTTCATTTTTCAGAGGGTTTTTATTCACTCTCAGTAGAACCTAAGCCCATGAAAGGCAGGAGCCATAAACAGCACCCTGTGGCTTATGCACATCTAATGGAGAGCTTTGCATACAGCTAGCTCACAGCAAGACTGGTAAATGAAAGCATCAGTGGGTGAATACATGGATGAGTCAGGGGGATCTTTAACATATAGCTGAGCCGAATGCACTATGAATGAAGGGTAGCATCTTCTGTGAACGACTCCAGCTATAGCCGCCCTGTGCTTTACCTACCTTCCTTGCTCCACACTGACGCTTCTTTCCCTCAGCAATCTCATCTTGCTTTATCCGAGGTGCACCTGTCCCGCGGCCCAGACAGTGTGGAGCGAGGTGGCCTCCTCCCTGCCCTCACTGCCACTCCACTTTCATTGCCCTTTTTTGTTTTAAGGGGTTTGCTATTAATTGGTACACAAAACAGTAAGTAACAACAATAATAAACGGCCCTGTACAACATAGTGACTAATGCCTGGTATGTAATGTTAGTTCTCATCTCTCCACTTACCCGCTGGGAGTCCTGCACAATCTGTGTAACCCTGTTGTTGTTGATATATCTATATATCTCTAGCTCTAATCCTCTATCTCTCTATCTATCCTATATATCATCAAGTTTTCCATGTTAACCTACTTTTAAGGGCTGAGTTTAGTGATAAGAACATTCACATTGTTGGGCAACTTTCCCCACTGTCCTCAAGAGCTGTTTCATCTCCCGAAACAGAAACTCTGAATCCATTAAGCACTAACTCTCCATTTCGCTTCCCCCAAGCCCTTGGTAACCACCATGCTGCTGTCCGTCTCTGTGAATCTGAGCACTCTATGTAGCCCGCTCATGTGGAGTCATACAGTATTTGTCCCTTTTTGTGACTGGCTTGTTTTACTTAACACAGTGTCCTCAAGCTTCATCCATGCTGGAACATGGCTCAGAATTTCCTTCCTTCGATGCCTGGATAGTATCTCACTTTCATATCTTAAACCTCTGTTGAATTCTCTGTAAAACAGGAGAGTAGCTGATCTTTCAAATACTGTGCTAAGGACTTAATGAGATCTTGAAAAATAAGGGACTGTGCCCAACACAGTGGGTACTAATTTAACTTTCTTCTCTTCCCTTTCTAAATTGTAAGTTCCCTGAAGACCAGAGGTGAGAAGTGCACCTTTTTCATTTACCTAGCTCCTGATGTCAGGTGTTAATGGGTTCTCTGTTGTTATAATAATAACAATAATTATTATTATTATTTTGTAAATTAGAGATTGGCTCCCAAAGTGCCAGCTTTTTGAAAATGATTATCTTTTTCACACTTCTCCACGGCGCTCTCCCCTGTACACCAGTCACAAGGATATTCACAGCAGGCACTTATCAGGGGAGCCAAGTGGATGGAACACATCTTGGGGTTGGACTTACTAGCTTAGACGAGAGAGAAGGCTGAACAGCCATGGCATAAATTCAAATAATGAAACCCAGCCAAATGAATGAAACCAACAAGCAAAGACCCAGTTTTCTGGTGTAGTGTCTTACTTTGTTGTTCTCCTTGGCCTAAGTCAATGCAAGTGGATCACTGCAGAGTTAATTGTGGGCTTCCTCCTTGCTGGCAACAATCTATTCTGCGGTCACTGCGTTATTAGAATGGACAGATTGGTACTCCAGCTGACTTGGGGACTGAATCATGAAAGAGGCAAATCTGTCTGGCGAAGAACCTCAAGCAACGTTGATTTGGGCAGAAACATAAAGCTATAGGAGAACTACCGCAACGGCTGTCATGTGGCAGAAATTAAACTCAAACTGATGACTCTGTGATAATAGCTTACCTGCTTTCAGATTTATTTTCCCCACTGATAAATTTCCACAGAACACTGCACTTCGCATAATCTCTTGGTTCTATAAGTCTGCTTTTCTCCAAACCTCTCTCCCAAGACTTTTCAAAAAGATGGCAACTTTGCCGTAGTAGCATCGGTGACCTCATCGGTTTGACTTACCTGGAAACAGCAAAGACAGGCTGCTCTGAAGCTGTGCACAGACTGAAACCCCTCAGCATTGTGAGAGATGACTTATCTCCTTCCTGCCGTGGGTGCACTGGCAGTACTGTTCTCTCCAGTGCTGTCAGCTGCCTGCAGAGAGCATAGGTCAAATAGGACCAGGATCATTTCAACCCAGAAGGATGCGCTTTTAAGGCTGAGTGACAGGACGTTCGTGGAAATGACTGTGTCCAATTCCCGGATTTCCCCGAGTCCTTGTTCTCTTGCTGGCTCCCACCCCGGCCCTGCTCAGGGTGCCACTCTGGCGAGAGCGCTGTGTGGCACGGGGACCTTGTGTGCACACCTGCACTCTCACAGGGGCGCCCGTGTGATCTCAGTGACAGTGTTTTCAGTGTCTGGAGGTGTGTGTTTGCTTCTCTGAGGCGACCACAAAGTAGCAGTGAGTTTCTCTCTAATAGATAAGGGGGACAGAAGTTGACACTATCTCTAAGGTGATGTATGATGTCTTACTCTGTGCATGGACTTGGTAAACTTCACCGTGACATATTTCTTTTTCCTCTCTCCCTTTTTTGTCAACATCACCTTTCCCCATTTTGTTATTTGTTTGCTTTTTCCTGCATTGGAAGACAGAAAAAAAAAAGAGATCAGGCTCAGTAGACAGTGCCAGTGAAGCATGTGCCACACTGCCAGGGCTGGGTATTTTCAGATGCCTGGGCACCACCTGTGTGACTTTTTCTTCCTTTGTTTTTAAAAGTAAACACGGCAGGATGTGAGCTCACCAATTACTGAGCGCACAGAAGTACAGGAACTGCTGGCCTAACTAACGAGCGTGACTTCAAAGGACAGTGGAGAGGAGCCCCTGCCTCCTGCTAGACATTTAAGGGCTCTGCTCTCCCCAGGAGGCCACTTGCTGGCGGGGCTCCACCAAAACAGTGACTTGCCAGCCTCTGACTTTCCTTAGAGCCTGCCCAAGGAACTCTATGTAGGCAAAGGGTACCCTGGTGGTGGCATTTCCTTCTAGCTTTCAGGACTTTGGAACTGAGGTAGAGAAAGTTATTTTATTTTGTGTGGCAGAAACAGTACAGAATATGACCTGGACTTTGCATTGCCTTACATCTTCTAGATTATACATTTTCCCAGCGTATTCCTAGGATTATATAACAGAAGTATGATATAGATAGCCATATGACTTCCGTAAATTGAAGCACAAAGCAGTCAAGTTTATGAACTCAAATGAAATATTAAGCTTATCTTCTTTTTCTTTTCTTTTTTTTGGATTTTTGAGACAGGATCTTCCTATGTAATTCAGAATGGCCTTGAACTCATTCTGCAGCCCAGGATGGCTTTGAACTTGTGATTCTCCTGCCTGAGCCTCTTAAGTGCTGGAATTACAGGCATATACCACCATACCTGGGTTAGAGCTTATTTTCTGACATTCTAATATATACCCCTAGAAGCCAGTGTTACAAAAGGGGTGGTCAAGTGCCCCTGGCAATCCGGTCACTACATTACATCCAAATTCTGTTCTTGACTCAGAGGGAGAGCTGGCAATTCAAAAATAGCAGACGCTGTGTTATGAGGTATTCAGATCTCCATTTTTTCTATAATCATGTTTTTTTGCTCCCTCTAAAATGCAAGTATTTCGAGGACAAACCTCCTGTTTCCCACCAACATTAGCCTATAATCCATGCTTGATGACTATTTGTGATATGAATGTTGTGACTAAACAGACCACTTATAGATTGTTCCCATGAGATGAGGAGCAAAGATATTTCTCCAGGATGGAAGGTTTGCATTTCTAAATCCTTTACCCCTTAGGACAACAGTAGTCCAGTTGCTAACCCTCGCAAGACGTCGTGCACTACAGGGTGTTGGGACTGAAACAGACTGAACAGATTAATCTCTACTCCCTCATTTTGTGGAGAAAGAAACTGAGGCTCACGGAGGTTAAGTGATTTTCCCCAGTTTACCCAATTCCTCTTCAAACTTTGCACTGGCTTTATCTTTCTTGGCAAAAGCAGAACTGGCTACAGTTAGGTCCATGGCTTGCTTGTGCAATTCAGGACCTGCCTTGGACAGAGTTAGGAACATATTAAAGGCATGCAGTTGCTTCCTCTGACTTTAACCTTAATGGTGCTGAATTGCTTTGGGCTCAGCATTTTAATAAATTCATGTTGAAACCAAATTCTATCCAGAGATAAGGAAAAAACTCATTTGAAAATTGAATATGAATGTACTTTGGAGGAAAAGCAAAGAGTATATCCTACTTCAAATAGAAAATAAAAGGCTAGAGGTGATTTTAATATTCAGCATCAATATATGAATAATTGAAAAGAGTGCTAACTAGCAATTTTCAAATCCTCACTCAAAGAAGAATAGGCTTGGATTATAACAGGAGAATTTCTATTTAGTTGTTTAAAAAAAGATAAAAAGTAGTCATCAGTGAGACTCAACTTAGATTTACTAACATTCATGCCAATCTCACATATAATTTCCATTTTTTGTAGAATCACTGCACTCGCGAATTATTAGGCTGATGAGAGATCATTTTTATTTTATTCAAATATGTGTCTAAATGGCTCATAGCACTCTTACTAGAAACTTGAAAATACCTAGCTAGCATCAAGAGAGCAATTGTTCATTTCAAATCCAGAAACAAACTGTAGAGTGTGACCTGAACATGTTACAGAATTCCATCCTTGATTCTGCCCTTGTCATTAACACTGGTAAAAATAAATGTTTGTAATGAAGACTTAAAAGTCAGGCTAAATTTTCAGCTGACCATGAAAGACTAGTAGAGTCTATAAAGTGCAGAGTAAAATGCAGATGTAGACTAAAAAACACAGCTAAGAGCAAACTGAGATGTAATTTTGGTACAAGCCGTCATCTAGATTCAACACCTTTATTGGTCATGAGTAGGGTGGGAAAAATATGACTTTAGAAAATTATGATGAACAGAATTGTTTTAGTTAACTGATATTCTATATGAGTTAAAAGAATGCAGCTGCTATAAAAATCAGTTCCTTCTTAGTGTACACTTATGGACCTTGGGTCATAGAACTCTAACTTCTTTGCTTAAATAGTACCTGGAGGACACTGATTGGCATGAACCAGCACAACTTTTGGTGTTTGCAGTAAAAATGGTGAGAGGATTTAGAAATAAAGACAAGAGACGAAAGCTGAGGTCAAGTGGAGCCATCTCTCCGGATGGGAGGAAAGGAACTGCCCAAGGATTGCAGAGCATTTATTTATGCACTCAGGAGGTTGATGTCCATTTTAATCTGTCTGCCTAGCAACCTGTTTGCAACCTGGAACAGCTTGTTTACAGGGCTAGACGAGCCTTCCATGTTCTTGGGGCCGGCTTTTTCTTAACCCTGCACCTATGATTGATTTCTAGCTTTGACCATTCCCTACCACTGATTATACTGGATATGTTTTATAACATACTGACACAAAGAAAAGGTGCTCAACACCATTAGTCATTAGGGACATGCAAATCATGACCAAGCTATGCTTCACACTCAGTAGGATGGCTGTTACTAAAAAGGCAGAAAATAGGGTTGATGCTGCAGGAACACACATGCATTGCTGGTGGAAAGGTAACATGGTATAGTCACCATGGGAAACAATATGGTTTCTAGAAAAGTCAAACAGAGTTGCCATAGGATCCAGACATGCTCCTCCTAAGTATACCCAAAAGAATTGAAACAAGGGCATAGATACTTGTACACCAATCCTGTCTACTAAATCCTTTACCCTTAGGAAAGTGGTAAATCTTCATAGCAGCATCTTTCACAATAGCCAAAAAAAACGGAAACAGCCAAGGGTCCATCAAAAGATAAATGGAAATAAAGTATGTGGCATCTCTATGCAGTGAATAATATTCAACCTTTAAAACAGGAGTGAAATTCTGATGCTTGAGTGAACCTTGAAAAGATTATGCCAAGTAAAATAATCCCGACAAAAAAGAGGCAAATATTGTATGATTTCTAAGTGATGAAATTTATAAAGTTAGAAGATAACCTAGCAGTTGCCAGGGACAGTGGTGGGGAGGGACAATGGGGTGTTAATGTTTAATAGGTACAGAGTTTCTGTTTGGGAAGATGAAACAGTTCTGTAAATGGATGGTAGCAGTAGTTTCATCACAATAAGAGTGTACCAGAGTCACGGAATTGTGCCTTTGAAAGTAATAGTATGATAAATTTTATGTTATGGTTATTTTACAAAATAAAAATGTATTAAATATTGATTAATTGTTCTGCAACAGCTACTACAAAGAAAATACTTATGTGTGTGTGTGTACATAGAGGGAGGTAATCAAGGATCTGGAAACTTGGAAAAATAAAAGATAACTAAGGGAATTGGGCTATTTACTGTCAAAAAGAATCAAGTAGGCAGAAGAGTCCACTGGCTGCCCTTAATGAGCTGAAAGGATTTTCCACGGCAGGACATCACCTCTATTCAGCTCATTCAGAGTAAACCTGGGGTAGAACCAGGATCAGGAAGAGAAATGATATGTGAGCTGGTAAATTTCAGAGTAGAAAGAGCCTCTAGTCAATCCAAACTGTACTTTTATTTAAAAATAGGGAATTCTATAGCTAAATATACAGTGAATGATTCATACAAAATGTGTAGTAATGTAGAGGGCTGCACTGAAGGATTTTTTAAAGTCAGTATATGTAAATGTTTAAAAAATCAACACCCCAGTCATGCAGGAAAAAGAATGAATTTCCTCAGAGTTCTGAGATGTGGCAGTATCTCCTGAAATTACAGCAAAACAAAATTAGGAACCACAGAAGGAAAAGTAGGCCATAATGATTAAATTCACTCTTAGTTTTTCTTTCAGATTAGAGAACTGTTACTACTTAATCGTGTCACTTTCAAATATTAAAAATAAAAGTGTTTTCTTTCCAGGTAGTTTGGAGATAGGCAACAGTTAACAGCCCAGAACCTAAAGGAGGAGGTTTGGTCTCATTCCAGCTCCATCTTTCCACCATATCATGACTGGGTGGTTAGAAACCTACACTGTCAGGAACATCAGCAGAAGCTGATAGCAAAGCAAGTCTCAGTTGTTTTCTGCCAACTGATGTTCTGAAGGTAGAAGACACCAATGGGGAGATTCTTGCTCTACAAGAACCATTCTGTATGTCCTTCAAACCTTACTCTGGCAACTAGAGATGTGAATGATGAGCTTGAGTCTCACATTTCCCAGTGGAACTGCTTCTATCAAATGTTGCCTATATCTCTGATGAGAGGTCATTCCCATGTTGGAAGCCTGCAATCCAAAATCAGCCTGGATCCTCTAGCTTACCAGAGGCCCAGAGGAGAAGTCATGATTCGGTCACAGACAGCATGGGCCAGACTTACCTCCTGCGTCCTTCACAGTCTGCCCACTGAAGACCCTTCCAGCCCTGAGGTTGGATCCGAGGCAGTCATTCCTGCCTGAGCCAAATCAACCAAGAGATGAGAGAAGGGTAGTGTCAGCCAGGAACTGAAGGCACTGTGAAGAATCTGTGGAGAAGCTGTAGGTCCAGGATCCCACTCCATGCTCCTGGGGGATGGTGAGCACATTTCTCCTGAAGGGAGAAAACCCTTCCACGTTC